ATCAGATTTAACTTATTAAAGAAGAACCAATGCAGATCCTGGTTAGAGAAATCAAGGAATTACGTAACAAGAATATTCCTTTAGTTAAAGTACTCTGGCAGAATCATAGGATTGGAGAAGCTACTTGGGAAAGAGAATAGGACATAAGAATGCAGTTCCCATACCTCTTCATTCCAGGTATTTATTTAAATTTGAGGATAATTTTATTAAGGGGAGAATTGTAATACCCCAAATATCAGGCCAGGGACTTAATTGAAAAGAATTGAAAATTTAAGAGTTATTAAATAAGTGGTAAAAGATGAGCAAATGATTTGGAATAGTGTTTAGACTAATTTGTAACAATAAATAAATTAAGAGGGCACTTTGGTCTTTTTAGAAGGAAAATGATTTTTTTATATTCCCTTATTAGGGATTTTAAAGGGGGAAAAGAGAAAAGTTAGCCATTTTCTCTTCTTCTTCTTCTCTCACGTGGGTAGTGCTCTTCTCTCTTGCATAAGGTAAACTTTCATTAGCTAGTTCTTCCTGTAAATTATGGGTTGCTTTGGTAACACTAAGTGATATGTAAGCTTAAGGAATGATTAAAGAAGATTAAAACTAAGTGGTGGATGTTTTATATGAGATTTAAGGAAATGGGTTTTTGAATGATATGTTAATATATGTGTTTTTATTGAGGTTTATTACTAGAATTGATTTGTCAAAGGATTGAATAAGAGATTAGAAGTATGATATATATAAGTGGTGGATTGAATAAAAACATGTTTAGAAAAATGATATGATTCTTGAGTTTAGATGTTCCATGAGGATATTACATTTTAAAGGTCGAAAATGAAGTAAAGTTAGTTGGGTTAGGTAAATAGGAGTTTAATAGTATTGTTGGAGGTAAAAGTATAAGATTAGAGGGGAAATTAAGTGAAAATCGAGCTGAAAAATGGTAAATTTGTGCAATGGTATCGGTACTGATAGAACAGTATTGATACTATAGGTGTAAATAGGTAGAAATTGGATGAACATTATCGGTACCGATGCAAGGGGTATTGATACTGATAGGGTATCGATACTAACAAAGGAAAGTATCAATACCATAGATCCAGAATGTCAAAATGGTATCGATACTGAAATGGAGTATTAGTACCATAGTATGGTGGTATCGATATTGTGAGAAAGGTATTAATACCAGGCAACACAGAATATAGAATTGCTATTGATACTGAAAAGGGGTATCAAAACCATAGTATAGAAGTATCGGTACCAGGGTAGTAGTATCGATACAATTGAGCTTGGAACAGTAAAATAGGTTGAAATTGTTATAGAAATTGAAATAATTGATACTTTGAATATTATTAAAGTATAATTTTAATGAGTATACTAAGATTGGTATGTTATGTGTACTTAATGGAAACTTGTGTAGATCATAACCAAGCTCCAGAATCTAGCAATAAAAGGGGAAAGATAAAGTTGTTGATTAGCCATACATCTCTACACCTTTTTAGTGGGGATTACCAGGTGAGTACATTTATTGTAATTAATTGAGATGAATAAGATTCACAATGATTCAAATTAGAACTTTTTAATGTTAATGTATGTTTTATCATAACTAAAAATGCATGAAAGGATGCCATAACTTAAAATGCATGAAAGGATGCATTAAGGCATGAAAGGATGCATTAAGGCATGAAAGGATGCCATAACTAAAAATGCATGAAAAGATGCATTAACACATGAAAGGATGTCATAACTAAAAATGCATGAAAGGATGCATTAAGGCATGAAAGGGTGACATAGCTAAAAATGCATGAAAGGATGCATTAAGGCATGAAAGGATGTCATAACTAAAAATGCATGAAAGGATGCATTAAGGCATGAAAGGATGTCATAACTAAAAATGCATGAAAGGATGCATTAAGCCATGAAAGGATGTCATAACTAAAAATGCACGAAAGGATGCATTAAGCCATGAAAGGATGTCATAATTATAAATGCATGAACGGATGCATTATGAGATGAAAAGAGGCCATAACTGAAATTAACAAATAATTACTAAAGAAAAATAAAAAAATGTATATTGGACATCCTAAGGATGTTTATGATAATAGTATGACAGAAGTTTGGTTTTAATAAGAGGAACTTATATAATCCTTATGGATGATACGAATTAGTTTGCAATAAAATAACCACGATATACTTATGTATACCTTAATGTTCTTTACAATATTATGTCTCACAAAGTAAATGCTTAACGTGTGTTTTTTCCATGCGTAGGTAAAAGCAAAGATTAACTGAGTAAGGAGTGCAGTGACACTAGGACAATCTAGTTTATTATGGAAAAACTTACGTGGCATGTAATTAAAGTATTAAAAATACTCTGAATTTTAATTAAGTAGAACTTTGTAACATATTACAATCAATGTTTTGCTTTATATTAAAAATATTATGTTTTCAGAAATCGAATAACAAAAAAAATTAGGGGTTTTCAATTGAAGAACTATTTTCAAAATGATGTGACATATGTATCTTGTGTACAGAAAGGTATACGGGAGATGGATGTTACATTATTCTTGGTCATCCCTTTCTGAGCATGACACATACCAAAATTGACGTTATGAGTGGAATTCTTACCATGGAATTTGACGGTGAAGTGGTAAAATTTTGCATTTGTAAGGTAATAAAGCATCTTGACTCTGTGGTTAATGTTAGCTTTGTCGATATAATTAAACCTTTTGTGAATGAATATGTTAAACATACTTTTTGTGATGAGTTGTACAAGAATTTGAAGTCTAGAACGGATATCACTTCTAACATGGACTCGCAATCATCTAACGAAGAGCTACGTAAGAATTTAAATTTAATGTATTCTTAATCTAAATTTTTCCATCTATTTTACATGCATCAAAGTTGGAATTAAAATCGTTTTCCGGAACATTTGAATGAAGGGGATAATTTATCTATTTCGGACTAGCTTCCAAAGCTGAAAAAGATACGAAGTAATGCTTATGAGAATGTTCGAATTTCAAGGACAAAATGAAGGAACTTGTTGATCGTAGAATTTCTCATAAGAAATTTCTTAGTTGGAAAAAGCATATGAAGTGGAGGAGGTATCTCTTGCGGAACTTGAAGCTAAACGACATTAAACAAAAGTACTCTAATGGGAGGCAACCCATTTTTTACAATTTATTTTGTTTTATTAGTATTTTCATTTTTTTTAATATTTATATATTTTTATTTTCTAAATTTGGTACACTAACATTTTTATCGATTTGTTTTGAGCTTGAATGCGTGACCCTAGTTTTTTTTTTAAATAATAAAAAAAAGTGCCTTGCGATTACCCGTGAGTATTGATCATAAACATGCAGGCGAGGAAACAATTTGTGGTACTAGTGCGCACCGTGTCAACCCCAAAACCCTCTGAACAATGCACGTGTTTTGTTTATAATAGTAATTCAATCAAACTCATTTTAAAAACCCAAATAGGAGTTAGAATCATCCCACTCCACATGATTTTCATTATACTCATTTCACACTTTTCTTAAACCTCCATCACACATGTTTTGTCTGTCATTCTACCTTTGTTCATTGTTCATTGTTCATACTATCCATCGAATCATTTTTTTCAGCGGGTTTTTATGTCATTGACATGGAGAATGATCAAACCATCACATGGATTAATTTTTCTGGTGGATTTCTATGCCATTATACCTTAGATCATTGTTCATACTATCTATCAGCTATCTTCTTTCTTGTTTAGCCATCATCATGCCCATACAAACAAACAATCAGTCATCTAAACTTCTTTGTTTCTTCCATCTTATTTGCATTCTATCCCACCTTTTCGCCCTACATCAATCCACCTATATCATTTTTGTTTGCGGTCTATCTTGCTTGCAATTTATATTGCTTTATTCCTAGATCCAACAATCAATGGGTTGTCGTCTACAACATCTCTCAAGGCATGCAACCAACCAACTCGCTATCAAACCATGACTTTGATTACACTTGTTAGGAATTTATAAGCACAAAAATAATCAAAAGGAAGATTAATACAAAATAAGACATACATAAGAGATTAATACAAAATAAGACATACATAAGAGATGATATTTAACGTGATTCTACTTTGTTTATCTCAACAGATGAGAGAAACAATAATTCATTATGAATATAGAGATTACAAAGAGCACAAATACATAAAATTCTCTCGTGTACTAAAATTCAATATATATCTTAAAACTCGGTGTATCTCAAATCAATCTTTCAACATTTCTACAATATCAATCTCTACAACATACTCTAGAATTTACATAGACATGAAAAAGATTAAATCTTTTCAAAGTAGTTCTCCCATAATTCTAAAGATGATATATACTCTAAATTTATAGAGAAAATAAATTTGATCACTAAAAATTCTTATGAAATTATAATAAACTTAATCATCAAATAATATTTAATCACTAAAATTAAAATAAAATTTAACTTAATTAAAAATTAAGAATATTATATATATATATATATATATATATATATATGCAAAACTCAAACTTTTTTTATAAATCCAAGGTAAATATATGACGATATCTATTAAAAAAACTCTGAATCATTTAATATTGAATTCTTATATTCCTACATATGTGATACTTAAACCCAAAATCCCAAGAAATAACAAAAATCCCTTAATTCATGCAGTAAAACTCAAATTTTTAATATTGAAGTTTAAACTTGAATCATATTTAAAATGTGTCAATCTTTTATCGGAACTCATTTTATCATATCAAATCAAGCAAGCCTTCAAATTTCGACGTTAATGAGTTCAGAAAAATTGAATTAGATTTTGAATCATTTCAATGTTTTTATATTCCTTTAATAAAGGAGATTCATTTGAAAGAAAGAAATTAACCCCAAAATCACTGTTAAGCAGTATATGTGGGAGAAAGATCTTCAATGGCCAAACAAGTTATCTTCGACAAGCAATTTCTTTATATAAATAGAATAAAATGAATAAACAAGTTTCACCGAGGGACAACAACCGAGACTGTAAGTTTATTCTGGGAGATCTCTGGTATGCTCTGACTCGACTCTAGTCCACTTCGGACATTCGAGAAAGCCGGTCGCACCGGAGAAGGCAAGATGGCGAGTTCGTTGTTCAACATCATGAAGACATTGGACATGGTTGGTCTGTTAGATGCTCGATCTTCGACGCAAAGGAGTGCAGTATTGATGTATCTAGTAGCTGCATTTGGACAACACTTATCTTGTAGGTCGATGTCCATCAACTCCAATGGCTTATTACTTGTCCAAAGATCCCATGCCTGAAAATGAAAGCAGTTTCAACTACTTTGGTGTACGTTTCAACATACTTTAATAAATTCAAAATGCTTACATATCCAATAAGATTGAGAGAATTGGTGAGATAAAGACCAGTGTTCTTTTTGCCACTCAAAATCTCTAACAACAAAACCCCGAAGCTGAATACATCTGATTTCACTGAGAAAACACCTTCCAAAGCATACTCCGGAGCCATGTAACCACTGCATTTTCATGATAAACAATATGCGCATTGATATTAAGTGTATAAGTGTATATCTCTACATGTTAAATACTTACTAAGTTCCCACGATTCGATTGGTGGCTCGTTGTTCAGTGCCTCCGAAGATTCTAGCCATCCCGAAGTCGGAAATTTTCGGGTTCATATCCTTATCCAACAAGACGTTGCTGGCCTTCAAATCCCTGTGAATGATTTGAACCCTGGAATATTGATGGAGATAAAGAAGGCCTTGAGCGATTCCTTCGATGATTCGGACTCTAGTTTCCCAAGGTAGTACGAAGATTGCATTGGTACCAAAGAGGAAAGAATCCAAGCTCTTATTGGGAAGATATTCGTAGATCAGAATGTTTTCATCTCCTTCAATGCAGCAACCAAGAAGTTTCACAAGGTTCTTGTGTTGGAGTTTGGCGATCAGCATTGCTTCGTTCTTTAACTCATCCCAACCCTGCCTGGATTTTCTCGACAGCCTTTTTACGGCTACTTCTTCACCTTTCAATAACTTTCCCTGGAAGAAACCAAAATTCCCAGTTGAATTTCTCAAAGAAAATGATTCATCTGAGTATGAATTTTACCTTATAAACAGGTCCAAAACCGCCCTCTCCAAGTTTGTTTGAGAAGGAGAAGTTATCAGTAGCAGCTGATACGCTTGAAAAGCTGAACAATGGAATTTCCACTTCCTTCTCATGTTCTACTTGTCGTCTTTGTTTCGCTGGTTTCTTTTCGGAACGTGCTGGGCTCATAGTAATATCAAATGTTAACAAGTCTTGCCCTGCTTGTTGTAGAGTTGTGAAGCATACGAGTGAGTACAAAGAACACTATATGACAAGGGGGACAAAAAGAGAGAAAATAAATATCTTTCACCTTTTCTATCTTCCCTTTTCTTCTTCACTTGCCAAATGAACAATGCTGAACCAAAAACTGTCATGGAAATCGTCACTGATACAATAATTGCTCTCCTAATATTGTTTGTGCTTCCTTCATTTCCAAGAAACAAAACAAGTTCATTATATCATTTTCCACCACTGTATGCATCTAAAAGATTGGATCACGAAATGGAAATGTTACAATTGATCTTACTGTTAGTCCCCAAATCCGATGTTGATAGTCTGAGATAAAAAGTTGTTCCAGAGATGCCATCAGCTGGAAGCTGCTGCAAGTTGATAAGATCGCCGCTCCATATCGAGCAATTCTGATCGGTATACGAGAAACCGGAACACGAGCAGTTATTTAAGCAAGTTGATCTGCATTCACCAATGCTTTGAACCTCTAGAGGTAGCTGATTTCGTGGCAATTTTACATTAGAAATCTCATGAAATCCATCCTCTGTAGTCCCTGGACCTTCCATGCCACATTGTAAATCATTTTTCCTATTGCACCCTTCTTTGAAATCTCCATTGCTCCAAAGCTCCGCCGAGCTTGGTTCAAATCCAGGTAAACAGCTACAAAATGGGGACGAAACATTGCTGCAGCTCGAATTGGCTCCACAGTAAGCGTATACGTCACATGGTTGTCTCGGTTGACTGTTCAACAAACTCCATTCATTTTCTAACCATAAGACTTGTCTCAATTGTCCTGTTGCATCGAGAGTAAATCGACTGATTATGTCATTCCTATAGAGTGTGTAAGTGAGATAAGCTGCATCGGATTCAGAAACAAAGGTGAAGTTGTACATGTTCATCCTTGCTTCAGGAGGGAATTCGAAAAAGCTGCTGTCATCTCCCCATGGCCTAATTGATCTCCAGTATATTTGGTCTCCGTTCAAGATTACGAGCCTCTTTTCTTTCCCGGGATCCAATTGGAAGGTGAAATTTCCAGGACTTGGGTCATTAGAGCTCCTCCATGACACGTATGACCAAGTTTTCCCAATCATCGTATCGTATCCGAGTTTCATCCCGGGCAAGAAAGTATGGGAAGGGTAATCAAAGCTTTGCCATAAGATGCTAGAATTCTCATCTCTCAAAACAAGATTGCCTGAATCCAACAATGTTGCACTCACATTTGCATTAGTTAAATTTAAATCCGTCACCATGTAAATGATCCTACCTTGCCGAATCGCTAGGTTGCCGTCTTTGCCTATGCAGAAAAAGGCTGAAGCAGTCACAGGATAATCCCGGTTCGCTATCCAAACGACTCGATCTTCTAAGATATTCTTGTACATAATTGCCACATAGTAATTCACTGAATTTGCAGGTTGATAAAATCCTAACTCAAACATTTCACCAGCTGAAACAATCGTTGCTGAGCTAATCAAGTGAATCCCCGGTGTGATTGTGTCCATTGCAGCAACCTCAAAGTATTTCGTGACATGACTTGAGAACATCAGTAGGATAAAAGGATATAAAAACCAGGTTCTGGAAAAAGCCATTTTGTTTCCTATAAAGCCGGATCGAAGTTTATGTCGGAGAAATGATGAGATATTATTCTCTAAAACTTGAAGCTCCAACACTTGGCTACCATGTTATCATCGCTTTACCAAATGTAAAAGGCAAGGGAAGATTAGTCAAGTAATTGAAATGATTTAAGCCATTGGAAAATTACTCTTGTAACAGAAAAGGCTGCTGGACTTAGTCTTTGAGCGATTTTCTAAAGAAATAAAATAAAAATATCAAAAGTCCACGATTCTGACAAAGAAATTTGCATGTACTTTATTAATTTAGCAATTGCAGATGACTTGGAGAGCAAGTAAAGATATATAATTGGTGTAAGATAATGACTTCCGCAAACTTTGAAAAGTGAAGCATTGATTTTCTTTTAACAAATTGATGGGAAAGTTCAAGTTGATTATCATTGAGGTATTAAGTAGCGTGAGGAAACAGAATACGGCAATACACCTACGTCTCTACTCGAGAGTTCTAAAGTTGCCAATAGCCTACGATCGAGGTTCCATTGAAGAAACTATGATGTTATTCACTGAAAACGTTGCAAGCTCGCTTGAAGGATGGTTTGAACTATTCGTCGTGCTTCTGGAATAAGAGAAAGCAGCCTTTTTGGGATAATTTAGAACTGTGTGCTCATTGGTAAGCATCGGGACAACTTCGGGCATTGTCGGCCTGTCCACCTTCATTTCTTGAACACAAACAGGAGCCACATGAATGTACCTCAGCAGCATAAGATATGAAACTTGGTCTTCCAATTTAGGATCCATCAACTCAGAACCTCTATGTCCTTCCCACAATTCCCATGCCTGAAGTAAAACCAACATGCATGTGTTGGACAAAAAACATAAATAAAACACTCGTGGACTCAGTTTGTCACTCACATGTCCGATTAGATTAAGACAACTTCTATGATAAATGCCGTGTTCGTTCCACTCACTATCTCCAACAGCAACACGCCGAAGCTGAATACATCGGGTTTAATGGAGAAGAGGCTTTCCATTGCATGTTCTGGTAACATGTAGCCACTATGTTTTCATCATCTTCACACACAAAAGTTGAATAGATTCTTCAATGAAAGAGGCTTAAAACTAGCAGATCATATTGTGAGTTATAGAGATTAAATTTAATGATCAAGTATTTACCCTGGTATTTCTACTACTTTGAGGATTAAATAAGGGATATTATAAGAAACAAAACTTACCACCGTTTAAACATCATTCAGTTATGTAAATTTAGGGGTAAATTATTTTACTCAAAAAGTAAAGGGACTAAAAGAGAAATTACCCTAAATCCAAAAAAATAGCATGAATTTGAGGTTGGATCAAGTTGATGAGATTGGATCGATTCGTATTTAAAATGATATCAATTTTTAGGTCCATTTGAGCTATCCTAAATGGTAACGAGTCCTGATATTTGATATAGTGAATGATGGATTGAAGAGGCAGGGACAGGTGGGGTAGTAGCTCTCTAATATTCTAAAATTGCTTTATAATTTAAATTTTTGATGTGTATTTCTTTTATTGATAATTTATGTTTATTCTTCTGAAATTTTATAAGTTCATTTTTTTCAAAAATTTTAGAAATTTATCTCTAAAATAAAATCTTACGTTTATATTTAAATATAATTTAAAGATAGTATTCAAGTAAAGTCCAACAATGAGCTTCAAGGTTCAAACTTGGTTCAAGTGTGATTAAAGAAGAAATTAAGGCTCTGTTTGGTTGGGTAGAAAAATAAGAGAGGTGGAAAAGTGGAAAGAAAATAAATTTTGAATATATTTGATAAGAAAGAAAAGTAAAGAGAAAGAAAATTGAAAAAACTATTTTTCGTACTCAAATGTATAAATATATCATTCCAATTTAAAAAAGAAAAGAGGAGAGAAAATGTGAAAAATGTGTGAATTAGCACAGTGTATATTTTTAAAGTTTAATCTTCTCCCCTTGCATAACAATGAATGAAAAAATATATATTTTATTTTTACTTTTTTATACTTCCTACTAAGCACATCATATATATATATATATATATTCAAAGAGTTCGTCCAATAAAAGATCTATTGGATTCCACGTGGACAAGTGATATTCTATTTTGAATCTTAAGCATTAGATTAAACATATGTATGTGTATGTATAAAATAAAAGTGCAATATAATTTGGTAAATTAAAACTTGACAACATAATTCGATATATTTACACAGATTTATGATTTTTAGATGAGTAAAAATAAATAATTAAAATTAAAAGTAGGAAATTTAAAGATATAAACTGAAAAATAACAAAGAGTCAATCTCAATCATTTGTTTTCACTCATTCAACGGTCATAAATCTATGTAAAACTAAAGAGTTTTATATTATGTAAATAGAGCTTAACTATGTATATCAAGAATGAAAAAAATTTAGTCTAAATGGGTATTAAACTTATGATTTAGGGGAGAAAAAATATGAACCGAAAATTTTTAACCACATATTCTAGAGATTGCTGTCATTTGATATTTAAGCATTAGATTTTGAACATATGCATAGGGATGGTATTGGGTCGGGCTTTCGGCCAACCCGACCCAACACGAAAATATATATCTTTCACCTAAAATTTGATTCAACCTAGGTTTAGGGTGATTTCATCTTATTCAAACTTGAATTGTTTTTGAGAAAAAAATTGAACTTGATCCGACTCTACTCGAAACAAATAAATTTATAAAAAAAATTAATTTTATTTTAATAAATACACATATCTCATGCAACTTCCAAGAAGCAGGGTCTTCACATTTAACATGACAATCTACTTGAAAAGTGCATGAAGCTCACTATCCCACCATGTCTAGAACTTTATCTTATTATCTGTACACTATGCAAGCTCAATGGAATGGTGAACTCAGTCGGAGTTTTACCCCTAGAAAAGGTATTTGACAAAGCGATCCATTATCACCTTACCTCTTCATTTTATCTATGGATCGTTTGAGTCATCTAATTAACTAGTCAGTGCACCTGGGTGCTTGGAAACCTTTTCACCTCTCGCGTTTAGGCACTTCATTATCTCATTTTTTTTTTTTTTTTGCAAATGACCTTCTTTATGCCCAGGCTACTTCTGAACATAACTCCATTGTGGCGCACAGTCTTGATGTTTTCAGCTATTTTTCGGGACATTCTGTAATCAAAACGAAGACTGAGATTTTCTTCTCACCAAATACTCCTCAAGATGCGAGACACTCCATTAGCTCTCACTTGGGTTTTCGCCATGTTGAGGATATGGGCACCTATCTCGGCATCCAAGTGAGACATCATGGCACAAGCTCTAGACTTCACAACACCATCATTGATATGATAAGAGAAAGCTTTTTACTTGGTGCTCATCAATACTTTCTCTTGCTTGTAGAATCACTTTGGCAGAAGCCGTGTTATCGCAATACCGACCTATTCCATGTAGTCTTCTTTGCTGCCAGTTCATGTTTGCAAGAGTATTGAAAAACTCATCCGCACTTTTATTTTAAGGCTAACGATAGAGGCTCTGCTTTTTCACTAGTTAAATGGGATACTTTATGCCAACCTTACAAATGTGGAGGATTGGGGATCCGCCATCAGTTACTACACAACATGGCTTTATGTTGGAAAATTTGTAACGCTTTAGTTACAACACCGGGTGTTCTTTAGATAAAAATCCTGCATGAAAAATACAGTCTCAATTCTAGCTCCTCTCACCATTCATCGGGCTTCATGCTCCCCTCTCTGGCATTCTCTTTCAAAATTTAGGCAAAATTTCCTTGCTAACCTTTCCTTGTCGATTGCCAATAGAGAGTTTTGGATTTTGGCACGACATTTAGATTCCATATCTTGGACCCCTACACTTAAGGCGGCGATCTCCTTCGATTGCATCCAATGATGCTACTGCTAACTTCTCGGATGGTAATGGTAATTGGGATTGGCATCGCTTGCTTTCAGTTTTGGATACTCAAGCCATCCCTCGTCTTCATAATATCCTTGCGTCGAATTCTGCTTTAGGCATGGTCACGTTCACTGGAGGCACAAAGCAAATGGTGTCTTTACTTTTACGAGTGCCTATGAGATTCTTGCTACTACCTCTTGGGGTAATGTTCACCTCATATGGTCTTTGATTTGAAGTCAAAAAATTCCTGAACGATTACGCATCTTTCTTTGGCTTGTTGCTCATGATAAGATCCTTTCAAACGTTAACAGATGCAAATGAGGAATTGCTCATGATCCTGTTTGTGAAGCCTGTTGCTCATATGATGAAACGACTTTTCATACTATTCGAGACTAATCAATCTATCAAGACTTTGTGGAGCTCTCTTGCGAGACGGAGCGGTGTCTCTAATTTTTTAAAATCTTAAGGCCGGTTTGGATTTAGATCGAATGGATCAGACGTGTCAGAGGGGTCAGATTGGACGATCGGGTTGGGTACGGGTCAGCAGGTCGGGTTAACTCGTTTCTAGATGCCCACCAAGGTAGTTGACAAGCCCCACGCACAACGACGCCGCGTGGGCCACGTGCGAGGTCTTTGGGCGTCGGAAAATTTTCTAAAAAAATTTCAAACTATTTTAAAGGTTTTAAGGCACTTACCAAGCTCGGTTCAACACGGTGAACAACAGAGAGCTCAATATCGACTCATCAAAAAATTGATGTTGCTCACCCCTTCACACGCCGACTAATGTGACTACGAAAGACACCAGTGAACTCGAGATCACAAAAAACATGATGGTACGAGAGGTGTAACAAACGGAGCTACGATCAGCGACAAAATGTCGTTTAAAGATTTCCAGGGATAAGTTTCTAAAAATATGAAGGTTGAAGAGAGAAGTTTTTGTTTCTAGAAATGGATACTTTCCAATTTTGGGGTTTTAAACCCACCTATAAAGGAAAAGGTGCAAATTAGACCTTAGTTCTTCACGCTTTTGGTTACTTTTTTATTTGGGTTCAAATTTAAATAAAAATTTTATTTTAGTCCCAAAATTTAACCAAAATTTAATTTAGTTCACAAAATTAAATTAAGAAAAATTTTAGCCCCAAAATTAGGGTGTGAAAGCACTCTCCCCTTAAAAGAAATTTTGTCCTCAAAACTTAGTTGGTCTGAACTTTAACCATTGGATCCTCCTATTCCGAATAATTCTCTCGTCCCCGTCTAAAATTTGAACAGGTTCCTCCTCATAAGACAAATATGGTCTCAAGTCTACATCCTCAATCTGAATGACATGACCAGGATCAGAACAGTATCGTCTCAACATAGAAACATAGAAAACATCATGAATTTGACTAAGCTGAGGAGATAACTCAAGCTGATAAGCAATAGGTCTGACTCTCTTCAGAATACGATATGACCCAATGAATCTCGAACTCAACTTACCCTTGCGTCCTAATCTCAGCACATTCTTCCACGGAGATACCTTCAGGAAAAACCTGATCCCTAACCTCAAACTCGATCTCCTTTCTCCTCTGATCTCCATATGATTTCTGCCTATCAAAGACCTCTCTCAAGTGATCACGAATCAATCTGACATTATCCTCTGTCTCCTGGACTAATTTTGGACCCAACGTCCTAATATCATGCAACGCATTCCAACGAATAGGGGGTATGACCTTTATGTCCATACAGAGCCTCATACGGTGTCACGTGGATGCAAGCCTAGTAGTTGTTGTAAGCGAACTCGGCTAACTGTAGAAAGTCCTCCCAACTACCATGGTAGTCAATCACACAACCTTGTAGCATATCCTCCAAATCATGTATCACTCTCTCGGACTGGCCACCAGTCTGGGGATGAAAAGCTTTTAAGTTTGCTTTCTTTGAATGTTGAGATTGAAAAATAATGAGTAATTAAAAACTTCAAAATCAAACTGAACTGAACCAAATCAAATAAAAAATTGAGGTTTTTATATTGTTCGATTTCGAATTTAATTTTTTAAAACCTTAAAATGTAGCTTGGTTAATGTCGACATCGTTTTCCGTCCGGGGCGGGGGAAACTTAGTACGACTTGGGGGTTTTCTTTTGAAAAGATTTTGTAATGTTTTGGAGTCTCCATCGACCTTTTGAGTTAGGTAGGTCGAATGCCTAAAAATACCTTTTAAAAGAGTTTTTAAGAAAACATCATATTAAAAGATAAATCAGTCTGCGTGTAACCAGAGATTAATTCTTTTTGAAATAAAAAATGGTTCGGGGATCGATTACATGTAGGGAAGGATAAGCACCCCCACAATACCCAAAATTGGTACCCCATCGATTACAAATTATCTCTAGTAGTGGAAATTGAAGAATTCGAATATAAATTTAAGTTATGATACTATTATTCTAGATTCAACCATAAAATTTTTATTTAATTGAAAATTCTAAGGAGAAATGAAAAATATTCTAATATTTCCAATTGAAGAGAAAATAATCCCTAAAATATTTTAGGAAAAATATTTCTCTTTCCAACTGAAATAAAAAGAATAATTTAACTTCTCCCAAGAATTCGAGATTAAACAATTTGATTTGACCAAAATAAGAAACTAAGGCAATTAATCCAAATTATATTAATCATGCTAGATAATGATAGTTTAAACTAAAATGGTAAAAGTATAAACACAATAAAAATCAAAGGCCCAAAAATAATTATGACACAAATATAAGTGCTTTAATAAAATAAAATCATAAACATAAGGACCACAATGCAAGATAGCAAAATAAGGCATTCAATATGATAAAAACATGAAACATGCATATATATATATTCATGGGACTAAAATAAATTAAACAGAAACTAGAGTGCAATAATTAAAGAACTGAAATTAAATTGATATGAATAATACGATACCAAAATATAATAAAACAAAAAAATAGTAACCAAATCAGAAATAAAAAAGTGACTAAAATGAATAAATTGTAAATATCACATCTACATCATAATAACATAAGAAACAAACTCCAAACAATGGCTAAAATGAATAAACATAAAAAATGACTAAATTAGAAAATTAATAAAATTAATATGAACATTATAAATAAATAACAAAGTCAATGACCATAGTGCAAAAGAAACTAAAATATGATGAGCTTAATGATGATTTTACCCTGATAGTGACCAAAACATAAAACATGCTGAAATTGTAGGATTTGGACTGCGATTTGACCTTGAAACATAAATAAAAAAGAAGCTAGAATATGGGGACATGGTTAGTGATTTACCCATTTTCCATACACACAAAATATCATCCCCTTTCACGTAAACTGCGCAGAAGCTTGCAAGCTTCACAACCTCACTCGGCCACCACTCAACGCCCCCCACACGTTGGCCACCAGGCCGGTGACTGGCCTACAACCACGGCGACCTTTACCATGGCCAATGGAAGCCCAAAAGACGGCTTAAATGGCCGAGAACCTTTCATGTTATCCTCCTCTGTCATTCTTTCTCTACAACGTCAAGGGACGTAAAACCGACCCCCAACGCCGACCACCAAGATTTTATGACCCCTCACTCCCTCACGATCGTCTTCGACCGGCCAGTGAAGATCTAGATGATATAAACGACCCTCACCCCTCGCTCATCACTCATAGATTCGAAACCCCAAAAATCACCCTCCTAGCATCGACCTCTAGGTTGAAACTCCTTATCCTTCACCGACCACCAACAACCGAAGTTTCCTAACTGTGAGAGGGTATCTCTCGCACGCCGGCCACCACTCAACGGTGGCCACTCCCTTGCCCGTGAACACCCACGAAAACCGAAAGCCAAAAATAAAGCAAAAAGGGAAAGCTAGATAAGAAAGCAACACATGGAGAGAAAAAGTTAGTAAAAAGTCTCTTTCATTCCTATTTTTAAGGACAAAGCCTGAATGATTTTACATAGGGTGGTTGGGGGTATTAATAACCCCAATTAAAACATTATAATATTAATTTTTTACAAATAAAATAATGATAAAATAAAAAATGGTGTTTACAGCTGCCCCTCTTTGCTCATTATTGTAGAACAGGAATAGAGCAAAGATATTAAGCACCATTTTTTATCTGGCCTAAGCTGTTAAAATCTTGAGCTCCAATTTCTTTTGATCGGACAAGTTCTTCTTGTTATGAACTCCTCGCTGGTGGTGTCATACCACTTCATTTTGTGATGAAATCACCAAGGTTGAACAAGTTCTTCTTATTATTAACTTCTTCTCCCTCATCGGATGAGTTCTTCTCATTATGAACTCTCCCATTGGAAATGTTGATCCACCTCATTCTGTTATGAAATAGAAAAAAGTGATGACGTTGATCTAACTCCATATGCGATGAATCGAGCTAAGGTTAAACAAGTTCTTCTCATTATGAACTTCTTCTCCCTCGTTTGGATGAGTTTTTCTCATTATGAACTTTCCATGATAATCCCTCAAGCGAGGCGTCACTGATTCGAAATACCGTGAATTGAGTGATAGGTTGAACAAGCTCTTCCCATTATGAACTTTTTCTCTCTTATCGAATGAGTTATTCTCATTATGAACTCTCCATTGGAAATGTTGATCCCTCGAGTGAGGTGTTGTTGATTCAACTCCATATGTGATGAATCGAGCTAAGGTTGAACAATTTCTTCTCATTATGAACTTTTTCTCCCTCATCGGATGAGTTCTTCTCATTATGAACTCTCTACTGGAAATGTTGATCCCTCAAGTGAGGTGTTGCTGATTCAACTCCATATGTGATAAATCGAGCTAAGGCTGAACAATTCTCATTATGAAATTATTCTCCCTCATCGGATGAGTTATTCTTATTATGAACTATCCATTGGAAATGTTGCTTGGTTTACCATTTCTTTGAAGAGTTTTAAACCTGCAAAAGATTATCATGTGTTAGTAATAATGGTGTTTGAAGTACCCGAAGGTATTGATTTAAAGGTCTTCGAATTTTGCTGAGATCCATTTCTTTCAATGGTGAAAAATATGGATTGATTCTCTGCTGAAGTCATGAAATGAAATCTTTGTTAACTCTTTGAATTCCTTAATGTTGCAAATTGCCGAGTTTTTGTCTTTGTTAGGTCCAACCTGCATGTATTCTTGTGAATCTTGACTTGTGAATGGGCGGATCTTGCCCCAGTAAAATTTTTATTTTGATAATTTTAGCTTCTTCAAAAAGATTCATTTACAGTTATCAAGAAACACCTAAAATTAGGCTTAGCTTCTTTCAAAAATTCAAAAAACAATCAAGAAACCTCTGAAAATCAGGCTTAGTCTCTAAAAATCTTTCATTTTAATTTGTCATCAAGGAACCCCTAAAAATTAGGCTTAAATTCCTTTAAAAAATCTTTAGAGATAATCATCAAGAAACCCCTAAAAATCAAGCATAGTTTCTAAAAACTCATTTGAAAACATGCCGCCCGAAAGTCTTATGGATGTCCCGAAGGACTTATCATCTTGCTCGAAAGACTTATAGATGACCTGAAGGATTTAAGAATTGTGCTCGAAAGACTTACTGATGGCCCGAAGGACTTAAGCTGATTCGAAGTGTATGAATCGAGTAATAGGAAATGTTAACCCCTCTAGTGGGGCGATGCTGATTCAAAGTGTTATGAATCTAGCAAAGGAAATGTTGAAAACACCCTGCCCAAAGTTCTTATGGATGGCCCAAGGACTTACTCATCAATAAACCCTTGAAAATCAAGCTTAGTTTCTTAATTGTCAAAGAACCCCTAAAAATTAGGCTTAGTTTTCTTTTAAAAACTCATTGAAAACATCATCAAGAAACCCATGAAAATCATGCTTAGTTTCTAAAAACTCATTTGAAAACATCAAAAAATCCCTAAAAATTAGGCTCAATTTATTTGAAATTCATTTGAAAACATTAAGAAATCCCTAAAATTAAGCTTGATTTCTTAGAAAGCTCAAATAATCAATAAACTTCCAAAAATTGGACTTAGTTTATTTCAAAATCATTTGAAAATATCAAGAAACTCATGAAAATCAAGCTTAATTTCTTTGAAAGTTCATTTAAAAATCATTAAGAAACTTATGAAAAATCAGACTTAGTTTCTTTAAAACTTATTTGAAAATCGTCAAGAAACTTCTGAAAATCAGAGTTAGTTTCTTTAAAAACTCATTTGAAAATCATCAAGAAACTTCTTGAAAATCAGACTTAGTTTCTTTGAAAGCTCATTTAAAAATCATCAAGAAACTTCTGAAAAACAGAGTTAGTTTCTTTAAAAGCTCATTTGAAAATTGTCAAGAAACTTCTGAAAATCAAACTTAGTTTCCAAAAAAACATTAGTTTGGTAACATGCCCCACTTCGAAAATGATTATTGTTCTGTGTATTGAGTTCCTCAATTCTTGAGGTTTTGCCACTATTAATGTAATTCCCTCCATTTAAGGCTTGAATTCTGACTTTTCCTTTTCTTTTTTTCTTGAAAAATATGTAAAGATATGCTTTGATGCATGAAATGTGAATATAATATGTATCTATATGTAATTCATGACTATATTATATGTAGAAATGTTAAATATTAATCCTCTTTTGGTTTCAAAGTGGAGATCTCGGTCCTCCTTCACTTGATCCCTCTTGTATGGAGTCTTCCTCAATGGCAACTTGTCAGCATAAGCTTGCATCTTCCGAAGAGTAATCTAATTACCTTGTGCAATCATGTCTTTTCT